TGACGATGCCGAATCGATGTCGATATATGTATTGTTGCAACGGCCATAACTTTTGCCATTGAAAAGTAATTTAGTATTGCTACCATGGTTGTCATGATGCTGGCCACTATTAGGAGCATAATTCTCGATTCTATCTTGACATATAGTACAAAAAACTCATGAAGTTACAACTACGGGTGTGTTTGCTCTGTTGACAGTGTTACCATTGTACGATAATTTTCGGTTGTGATTATCAGTATTACCCATGATGGTGGCTACTATGCGTAATCTTCCCATCAGGAGCAGTATTCCCATCAGCCTACTTCGACATAGAAGATGTAGATCCAACCGCTCAGGTGCAGATGTCGGCTGGTGCTTCCGCTCTTATCATTTGCGTGTGTCTGAATCACCTCGATGCCATCCAGGTCTACTGGGTGATATTTGGGTTTAAAGTAGCTCTACGGGAGGTAGGGGTAGAGGGTTTAGAGGCTTAAAGGTGATGGATTTGTAATATAGGGGCCTTATTTTTTGAATTAGAATAGGCCTTTTGGGGCCCATTATACTATAACTATAAGAAGGAACCCCCCAGAATAGTGTAGGTAATTTTTTAGGCCACTACATTACTCTTAAGCTTGAGTTGAACCACCAAGATCCTGCTGGAGCACCGGGCCAACCCAAACCAGGGTGATGCCACGGGCACCACAGCCGTGCACTACTCGTGCTCCTGTGCAAATGCAGATGCCCTGCGGCTGCTTCATGCAGCGGGCGGATCCACGGTGTTGCAGAACGCATTCAAGATCACGCCTAGCATGTTGATGGGTGGTGTGGGGAACAACACTGCTGAGCTTCAAGTCCGGCTTATTGAGGAGCTGTCTGCCCGCAGTCTCCCCCTCTCAGAGGTCAACCCTGCACTCCACCTCTGCATCCTCTTTGGTGGCGCGTCTGGAGCTGTGGTGGTCACGCTGTTGGAGGCAGGTGCTGACATCAATGGGCCCACCTGCCTACCCAAGTCGGCAATATTCCAGACGCTGATGGCCTACATGAGTTTTCGACACCCCTGGCGTCAGACCGCCTTCAGCAGATATGCGTACCACAGGCGAGGTGCCACGCCGCTGATGTGCAGCATCATCTGTGGCGCCTACGAGGCAGGCTGTAGTTCAGAGAAGCCTACGCTTGGCCTAAACCGTAAGCCCTAAGCCCCTTGTGAGGGCCCGAAGCTTGGAGAAGCTTGGAGATTCGACTTCGGAATTGTCGTCAGGCTCAGCATTACAAGTCGATGTACAGACATCAGAACGAAGTAGCCTTTAAACATGTATCCAGAAGTCCCAAACCCAAACAACACGCGGTCATAGTCTACTACAGCCCTTAAAACTCCTGCGCTTGTACACAGAATCTTCTGAAAAAGCAGGCTTTGCTAGGCTTACGGATACTTTAGCACTGCTACCACGACCCTATCTCTAGACACCTGTAACACCTTTGGCGGGATGCGCCAAACTCCCCAAATTCCCCAAACCCTAAAACCTCAACCCGCCAAACGAGCTTCACCCTCAAACACCTCAATCCAGTATCAAAGAACCTAAAGTACTCCAATACATACATCAAGGCTCTCAAGCCCCAAACTGCAGATGATGCTGTCCTCATAAAGGCCCCCATATGGGAAGTTCATCTTGATTTACAGAACTACCCATATGAAGAATGTACTACACCCTTATCAAGTTCTTTCAAGACAATAAAATCAATCCTTTGTGGCCGAGCCCTTATAAAGCTCGGCTGTACCCATCAAACAGCTCTGTCATACCATGGTATACCAACTCTGAACCTCTATGATACCTTTATACAGCTTTATTATGCTCGTATAATCTGGGGGGTTCCGAAAATAGGGGACACCAATATAGTACCCTATATAGTAGGACCCCTGTTTATAAGGACCCAAGAAAACGGTACCCCAATTTGTGGAAACTCTCATATACAGCTCTATTGTACCCTAAACCCTAAACCCTAAACCCCATTAGGCCGCCGCAGTGCTCATTGCCTCGGGTGCCCGCCTGGACCTTCGCAACGGCCGTGGCTGTTCAGCCAAGGAGCTGGCAGCAGAGATGTCCGTGCCCAGCTCTGAACATTTTGAGTTCAGGGTTCGGACTGTTTAGGGGGGGTATTTGCGGGATTCAGAGTATTTTGCGGTTTAGGGTTTCGGGCTCAGCGCCCAGTTCTAAACATTCTCGGCTTCTCACACATGGCAGATCGTCTCCGGAACCACCCTTAACAAGTCGTTATCCGCATTTCGGGTAGTTTGTGTGTTTTCGGCTTGTGTTTCTTGCAGACATGGCAAAAATATGAAAGTCGCAGCAGGGGCTCCCACGTGCGTTGCACCTCCCCAAAGCGAGCCTCGAAGTGAAACGTTACTTGACGAAGTGGGATGCCATGGGGTTCCCTTTAGCGTGAAATGCTCCCGCCCCTGTCCACAACCCAGCCTAATTCCTAAATCTGCCATTCGGGAGAACTATTTGGTGTTGGGTGAGACAGACAGTGGCGTGCAAGCCTAACTATATAGTAGGTAGTATAGAAACAAGAAGAGCTTGATGACAGTGAGACACAAAAGAACTGGCTGGAGGGTTTTTTGACGTGGGTCTTTTGATTGCGCCCATGTATGTTTCTCCATGACTGTGTGTACGCGTGGTGTGGTTGCTTGTTGTTTGTTCGGAAAGTCTAGCATGGTAGAGGTCTTTGACATCTAAGCCTGAATTCGGCGCTCCATTCTTTGCATGTTGGGTTGTGCGTTGTGGGTATCACTTGAAACCATGTGTGATCATTTGAGCATCTCTGTCCTTCTCAGAGGACCCATGGTCTCGCCCTTTGGCCCAAAACTTCGCTGTCTAAGCCGTAGTCCTAAAGCTCCGGGAAAACTGGACCCTGAGAAGAACCTAAGCATAAACTTTACATCCCAGCAAAAGGGGGGTCGGGGTTACGGGCTTAATTTAGGGGAGCCTAAATTCTTTGGGGTTCCTTGTAAGAGTTATAGTATAATGGGCCCCCAAACCCTATTCTCATTATTAAGGCCGCTGCATTAGGGTAGGTTTCAACGATCTAAAACCTAGAACCCTAAACCCTAAAGCGGTCCCAGCAGAGAAGGTGCCCGACTTCATCACTGCTGCCCTCGCGGGCTCAACTGCACAATGCGAGCTGCTGGTTCAAAGCCATCTCAGGATTACTTCTGAGGCTTTTTAGATCTAATTAGGTTCAATGTGAGAAGCTGATGAAGGACCTCATGGTTCGCACATGGGTCCCGGACGCCAGTGCAATGCGTTCAAAGTCTCTGAGGCCTCGTAGCAATCTCCGCTGGAGGCGGAAGTAAGGTCTCGGGGATGTTGAGGATTTCGGGGTTTAGGGCTTAGGGTGGTTCCATCAGTGTTTGTGTTTTTCAGGGCTTAGGGATTGTTCTTACGGATGTTCGAGTTTAGGTCGGATATATAGGCTTCTGGGTTTAGGACCTTTTCGCATTTGGCTCCTCCGCACCTTTGAGAGTCAAGTTTTCGACAGGCACTGGGCTTGCCACAGCCCAGCCAAGTCAGAATGGCTAGCTGCTGCAATTCAACTCAGATCTGTGGTATTACAAAGTTTTGCAGAGCACGTTTCCGCGGCAGGGGTGGAGGATTTTGAACGTTTTTGGAGGAATGTGTGATCTATACTACTACGAACGAACCAGTGAGACAAAGTCATGCCACCGACCTGCTGCAGTTCAGTGCTTCTTTTTGCGGACCGTGACTGATCTTTAAGTCTTGCGCTCTGGGCACAGCCTTCAACTCCAAAGTGGAGTGGGTGAGTTCAATCAATTGGCCCTCCATTCGAGCGGAAGCCCTGCTGGCAGGATATAATATGTGTATATATATATATATGCGACAAGTCAGCACTAGCTCATACAGGGAACAGTTTTCAATTTTCTGCCCAGCATGTCTCACCACTGCCAATTAAAATTCGGGCCTGAACAAGTACCAATACTATTTTGCGGGTTCCTGACTACACTTGTATGATTGTAGTATAATTTACACCACCCGTTCTAATTATCGAGCCCCGCGAAATCTGTCTAATTCTTCTCCGTCTCTCACAGCGACGACATGGGTCACTCAACGGAAAACACAGCTCGTGGGATCTCTGATGTGGATTGTGCTTTGGGGAAGTTGAGGGCTTAGGGTTCAGGCTTTAGCGGTTTTGGGAAGCTTGGGGATGTAAACAGGGTTAGGCTTGCCTTGCGAAGACTCAAGCGGTTGCTGTTGAGGTCTCATGCCTAGGGTAGCTAGGGTAGCAAGGCTGTTTTCTCTCATTTTTGAGTCGACCTCACATAACAACTTCTAGCAATCTCGAAAGCAAGAAGTGCCATCAGCCTTAAACGAACAATTTCAGCCCTACAAAATCATTTAACGGTGGGGTCTTGAAAGTCATTTAACGGTGGGGTCTTGAGCGTCCAGGGCCGTCTCAAGCTTCAGGTGTCTCGACCTTTCCTGGTTTTGAGCGTAGCGGGTCCTTGAGGCACTGCTCGCGGAAGTCTATCCCTTAAACCCTAAACCCTGAGCCCTAAATCGAAACCTAAACGACGATGCACATCTGTTGGGTTCACGTGCTTACGGATTTCATGCGAGGGGATCAGGGCCCCATACATACCTGCAATCAACTATCGTCTCCGTTGTAGATCCTTTTCTTTGGTTCACCAACTTTAGGAGAATGGCTAGGAACCACCGAAGTTTTCTCGTTGGAGCCCTAAACCCAACTAATATAGGGGTCTTAATGATGAGAGTAGGATTTTGGGGTATGTTAGACCATAGTTGAAATAAGGAACCCCCCAAACCCTATTCTAATTATTAAGGTCCCTAATTAAGCCCTAAATCCGAAAGAAAGAAACTAAACCTTAAGCCCTAGGCCCTCAACCCTAAACTCTAAGCCCTTTTTATTGAAACCCAAAATAATACTACACCCCCAAACCACGAAGCATCAACCCTCCCGACCCCTCGAAACTGGGAAGATGTCAGGTGAAGCCTGGTAAGAAAAGCAAGGGCTTGCTGGGAAAGGCACTGAAGCATCTCGGCTCCTTCCAAGGATCCCTTCAGGGTACTGTCATAGCGGGGTTAGGGCTAGAGGTTTAGGGTAGAGAATGCGGGGATTTTGTCATTTTGTGTGTTTCGTTCTGCGATGCTAAATACGTTTTCTCCCTAGCCTTCTTACTCCTTGTACGGTCGGGAGTTCAGGCTGCAGTGTAGGGCTTGAGGGTTTGTGCTTGTGGTCTTGCTGGGTCCTTGTGGCAGAACGTACTAACGTGGCTAGCAGAGCAGCTACCGTGAATCGAGCCCTGGCTTCCGAAGCCATCCAAGTCACGTGAGGGTTGAGTTCTCCGAAAGGAGAAACTCCAAAGCCTGAATTGGCCTTACGATGACATCTAGTATAGGAGTTAGGATGGCGGCGACCCTTGGGGATATAGACCCTCTCAATAAGGTCCCTTCTAAGAGAACCACAAGTAGGGTCAAGAAGGGTCCCCCTTTTAAGGGGTTCTCCCTAATGCTACCTAGTACCTAGGATACTGGAGGAGTAGACAATCCTAAACGCGAGACTATGGTCCGAAGGGGTTTGGGTTTAGGAATTGGAGGTTCAGGGTTAGCCCTTTAGGGTTTAGGGTCGTGGGTTTAGGGTTTATGGGTTTAGGGTTTGCAAGTTTAGGGGTTTAGGGTCTATATGGGGCCAGCCCCAATATGGTTTCTGGTCTGGTGCCCCCTTCCAAAGTGGTAGTACATTCGGAGCCGCATGGGCATACACAATCGTCAATGTTATTCATGATTTCCCTGTCTAGTCCCTAAGTCTAAGCCACATCCATTCTGACATATGCCCCACCCCTCTAAATTTCCACCTCCCAGACCATACCCGAGACCCTAAACCCTGAACCCTACATCCCACTCTAATTACTAAGGCTCCTATGTTATTTGGGATTTCCTTGTCCCTGATGTTGCTCCTTGCCGTGAGCTTGAGGCAGAAGCGCGAGTACATCCACAAGCTTCTCCGGAGGCAGCTCTTGGATCTGGTTTCGGGTTTCGAGTTTTGGGCTGAGGGCTTAGATACCGGCGCATAGAACAGTATCCATACAAACACGGGTTTCTGAATCTAATTATGTGCTACAATCCAACCGATTCATGTCAATGTGGAAATCAAGTGTGAGGAGCCCTTTCAAGGTCTACGGATACGTTCAGGGCTTGTGTCTTCGTTGGAAGTTTGAAAGAATGTGGAGGTCTTGTACCCGATAACCGCAATCGAACCTGCCACCCTCTGTCGGTAGACACCTATGTATATATGATCATACATATATATATATATATATAGGTAGGTAGGTAGGTAGGTTCTTGCGAAACGAGCCTCATACAGCTGGTCTGCATCCTTGGCCCTCAGCCTAAGCCCCTGAGCCCTAGAACACTTAAGCCTTCAACCCTAAGCCCTGAAAAAAAGCCCTGAGCTTTAAAGCCCCACCACCTCCTTGCCAGGGATCTTTGGGATTCGTCTGTGATGCAGGGCCATGAGGAGCTGGCCTCAGACCCCTGAGTCTGTTTAGAGGTTTAGGGTTTTGGGGTGTAGGGTTTAGGGTTTCAAAATGTTGAGGGCTTTGAGATAGAAGTCTGAGGAATTAGCAAGATTATGCCATCTTATTCCTCAGGGTTCCTTAATTTCAGATCTACTATGCTGTACCTCAAACCTAAGGGTTCCCTGTTATGAATATACTACGCTATAATCCTTTCCCCCTAATATTGGACCGGGGCCCCCAAAAAAAGTTCTGAAAGTTTATTATTAGTTTTATTACTATTATTATTGCTATTATTAGTATTAG